CAGAGTGAATTTTTGTTTTCTTTACCTCCCATCTAAATGAACAGGGATTGGCCCTGGCCGAGCCATCTTTCACACACAGGATGAGGCTGCCTATGTCCCCTCCTTGGTTATAGATGCACGTCCCAGTGGGTGCCCCACTCAGCTCTCAGGTCGAGGGCAGGTCCACAGCAGACTCTCCCAGTTCAGCCTCACCCTGGGCCCAGTACTCTGTGGCCAGTACAGGGAAAGCAATGTCTGCATTTGCAGATATTTACTGAACACCTTGTGTTGGGTGTGAGGTAGTAAGAGGAAACAGCAAGCTGAGCTGGACAGCCTGGTTCCTGCATATAGCAAGAAGTAGGGGGAAAGTTGGTAGCCGAGGGAATAAGCGATGTGTACTGAAGGATCCTCGGGTTCAGGTGAAGATGAAGGAAACCCCACAATGTAGATAGAAAATGTGAAACACTGAGGTGCACAAGAAGTTTCAGGATAACTGGGCTGCCAGGAACCAAGGGATTCACATCCAGAAAGGGTGGAATATTGCCAGGCCAAAGGCAAAACAAGAATTCCTTTGGTCTTGTGAGGTCAAGGGGCTGGCTGCCTGAATGGGTGTGATCTGAGAGGTTACTGGGGCTTCAGGGAGGCAGTTGTGTGCGATGAATCAGAAGGTGAGGTGTGAGGAGCTTGAGAGAAAGTTGAAAGAGAACCTACTGAATTTTAGGAAACACCGGATGGGATGTTATAGGTGAAGAATGTGCGGAGTCCATGGACTTGACTGTCAAGAGAAGATGTGATGGAGAAGACGCTCCCTTGCCTTTCAGAAATGGCTTCCTTGAGGGGATTTTAATTTTTGACTTGCTTTTTAACTTTCATATTACAACCTGTAAAATAGAATTACTATAAGAGTATATATTATAGGGTATATCCCTTTTCTGGAGTTTGAATGTTTCTGTCCCATCCGATACTCTTGTGCTGAAAACTTAATCCCCACTTCAAAGGTGTTGAAAGGTGGTGCCTAATCAGAGGAGTTGTAGGTCATGAGGACTCTACCCTCATGAATGGATTAATGTAGTTATAAAAAGGGCTCCTGTTAGTGGAAACAGTCAAAATTACCGTTTCATCTTTTGCCATGTGAAGACACAGCAAGAAAGCCCTCACCAGATGCCTGCACGTTGATAGTGGACTTCCCTGCCTCCAGAACTGTGAGTCCACACATTTCTGTTCCATATAAATTACTCTGTGTTATAGTAGCACAAAATGAACTAAGACACTCTCCTATTAACTGAATTTATAGAAGGAGCTGTTGTCCACCAGTGTGCATACATACACACACACACACATGTTTGTGTTTTAGTTATGAATAAATTTATAATTTGCATAACTTGCTCAGTTAATGCAAATTATAAGCCTTGTCTGAGGCTTATATTTTTTACAAACACCCAGTAAAAGTAAGTGACTTTGCCAAAAACTAGTCAGCTAAACAGTATGGTCCCAGAGCCTTTTCCTTACTGGGAGGTTCAACCTGCACCTGGGACAGACAGAAAAAGGAGAGGGTTAGAGCAGAACCTGGGAAAAGGTCCAGACCTCTTCCTGGGCAACATCTAATGGAGGAGACATGGGGCCCGGGTCACCTAATCTTTGTGATAGGCTTGATTTAGAGAGGAACAAAGCCTGTCTCTCTAAGTTTTTCTCCTGCGGCCCCTTGCGCTGTGCCATCCATTTCCCCTGCAGCTTTGGAGCCTACACTTTCCAGCCCTCAGGAAACCCTGCAAAGTCCTACAGTCTCTGGAGGCAACAAACACTGAGGGCAGTGGGGCCAGTGCTTTTCTGCTTCTATGACTCTGAGGTTTTCCTGCAGCACCAGGGAGAGTCAGGTTTGGTAAACTGGAGTAAGATACAGAGAAGACAGCAAAATTTTCTGCAGTATAAATGGTCTCACTAAATATTCAGCATTACATTTTGGAAATTAACTTCATTATTTTTTGGATTTTGAATTTATTTTACGTTGTTTGAGACTTTTCTAAAGATATAGTGAAACAAACAAGTGGTTTCTTCCCTATTTTCATTATGTTTCTTCTAAATTTCACACTATATAATCCACTGCTATGTTTATCATTATGCAAGGAATCAGAGCTCTGTATTGTAACACTATAATATCAAATTTTTCTCTCGGTAATTCAGTGCTGGTTGGTCTGACTCAGTGTGTGTGTGTGTGTGTGTGTGTGTGTATTTTTGCCACTCCTATTCATAAATATGCAGTTCATAATTGATCTTTATATTGTCTCTTACAAAGACATTATTATTGTAAAATGCTGTGTTAAAAGTAAAATACTTTGGAGCTTAGAACAATAGATTTAACCATATCCTCTGGGGCCATAGAGAAGAAGCGTCCTGAGCCCGCACTAGCCAGATGCAGCCTCTGTATAAAAAACATGGAGATGCTGGAAGCAAAGTGTGAGGCTGAGCCAGGGTGTGTGTGCCTCAGGTCCCCATCTGCATCTGTCACTGTGGAGATGATCGCTGTATCACAGAGCACAGTAATACTCAACCTGGTCCTTAGGCTGGGCCCCATGATGGTGAGGGCAGCCTAGTGTCCAAGCACGGAGTCTGAGAATCAGGCGGGGACCCCTGGGACCCAGTTGCTTGTGTCACTTACTAGGTCCTGGGGTAGGTGGTTGGGCTTCTGTTGAGCCCAGTGGGCATTGTTGGTGGTGGTGATGGCCCCAGCACTTGGAGCCACAGGGGAGAGTGGCTGTCCCTCCAGGAGCTGTGGACAGTGAAGGCTCTTGAGTCACCACAGCCTGGAAAGTGGCTTCTGGAAACAAGTGAGAGAACAAAAGGTGAGGAGATGAGATGGGGCAAGAGGTTGAGTGTTGTCTTCCCTCCCTCATCCTCTGCCCAGAAAGTCCCCCTGACCTGTGCACAGAGCCAGAGGTGTGAGCAGGAGAGGAGCCCAGGCCATGCTGCAGACAGCCCAGAGCTGTGATCCTCAGGAGGGCACCCACAGGGTCAGCCCCCACACTGTCATTGTAACTCCTAGCACCTAGTGGGGGCTGGTCTTTTTTACAAATGAGCTCCTCTCCCAGGGGCACTCACCTGGCCAGGTCTCAGCTGCTGAGTTGTTACACATCAGTGACCACGTGTCCATGGGACCCAAAACCAGGAGGCACATGTCGCTGCCATCCTTGTTTTTCCAGCGTATGGCCTATAGCGCCCTCTAGTGTTCCTGAGAGACATTATCAATGCCAGCTGCGCTTCCGTAGGCCTTTCCCTGATGGCAATGAGGAGCCCTGGGCGTGGCCACAATGTAGGTTAGCGGAAAAGACTCAGTAAAAAGAAGTGATCATGAGCATTTTTTCATGTGCCTGTTGGCTGTATAAATGTCTTCTTTTGAGAAGTATATCCTTTACCCACTTTTTGATGGGGTTGTTTTTTTCTTGTAAATTTGTTTGAGTTCTTTGTAGGTTCTGGATATTAGCCCTTTGTCAGATGAGTAGATTGCAAACATTTTCTCCCATTCTGTAGGTTACCTGTTCACTCCTGTCTCTTATACACATCTAGATGTGTATAAGAGACAGGCACACCAACATGGCACATGTATACATATGTAACAAACTTGCACGTTGTGCACATGTACCCTAGAACTTAAAGTATAATAATAATTTTAAAAATTAAAAAATTAAAAAAAAAGAAGTGATCAGCACAGCTGAAATGCAAAGGATTAAATTGAAAATGAGAGGAGGATTTGTACTGGCACTTCATCTAAGAAAACAAGTAAATGACCTGTAAGCACATAACATACATTTAATATCATGAGTCTAAAAAATACAAAATTGATAGGTCATATCGATATTCCATTAAGCAAATTCAATAATGAATCAGAGTCAACAGATTGATATTGTCAATTATTGAAGAGGATGTAAGGCAAGCGGGACTCTGACACATTGCTGGAAGGAACACACACACTTTGAAAAACAGTTTGGTCATTAACTACAAGCATAACTTATGCTTTTTCCTGTGCCCTAGCATTCTACCCTTCGTTAATTACCCACTAGAAATAACAATGTGTATCCACAAAGTTATTTATACATGAAATTACTTATTCATAACATCACACCGGAAACAACCAAAATGTATGCCCCAAGCGAACAAAGTAAAAACAGTAGAATATGTATACACAATGGAGTCCTCCACCACCACAATACCAAAGAGAACAAATTGCTCATACAGAACAACATGAATACATTATAAAGCTACTATGTTCAGTATCACAAGGTTGATATGACAGAATACGTATTTTATGTCTCTCAGAAGATAAAATGCTATACAACAGAAATCCAAGCTATAATGATAGAAAGCAGATCACTGCGGCCTTGGGGCTTGGTGTGTGGAACATTTGTTGAAAATTGGCACAAGAGGTGTTGGTTGAAAATTGGCACAAGAGGTGTTTATGAATGATAGAAGTGTTTCGTATCTTCATTTTGGTTGGTTAAAAGAATTGCATCTTTAGATAGGTAGGTAGGTAGATAGATAGCTAGATAGATAGATAGCGAGATGACAGATAGATATCTGTATATATGAATGTGTATAAACACACAGGCATATAAACAAAAATCATGCTTATACATATATTATATATATATGTTAGGCACTACCTACTAATCTGTGAACTTAACATCGATGTATATTATTTATATAACTTCCACCTCAATAAGTTTGATCTGAAATACAATAACTTTATCCTGAAGATAAAATTGGAATTAACCACTTAATTTTCAAATAGTTATTACCCTTGAAAAGAGAATATTGGTGGAAAATATATTTTTTAAGATGGGAAAGTATTGGGAAGCTATTTTTTTCTTCTTTGGTTGCATATTATCTGTGGTATATTTCTAACATGATTTCTATGTTTTAGAGTCATGACCACCCTGTCATAGATCTGGTCCTGCAGAGAGGAAAGCTCTAATTTGCTGCCCTGTGGAACCCCAGGAGAAACTCCTTCTATGAACTTCAGAGTCATCTTACTGGGGGAACCGTAAAATCCATATGGAGATGCCATTGTAGGGTGGAACCAGGGTGACTAGAAGAAAGAAGATGTTTTATGGACTGTTGAGCAGAAAATAACTGTACACATCAGCCTGAGAGGATGACAGATTCCAGGACTGAGTCATTAGGGTGATACCTGTGTGGTCTGGGCACAGTCGCAGCCTTTGCTCCTGGGTTCAGCCTGTGCAGGACAGAGATACTGTTCCTTCACCTACCCCATGACTAGAAGAATGACCTTCTTTTACCTGGAGGCCAACTGCACCTAGAAATTTTTGTCAATGGACCCCATGTCTGAGATGTGCAAGGTGGAGGGAAGAGGGGACCAGGTACCTGATGTGACAGGCCATGTGCCCTGAGTTGGGGCAGGAGATTTCTCAGCAGAATTTCAGCCTGGCTAGAGGGACCACACGAGGTGACTAGGTAAGGGACAGTCCCAGCCCTGACAGCACATGGAAGGTCAGGTCTTCCATCCGCATGGCCTTGAGCACTGTGTGAGCAGCACTGAGGCTGCTGTACTGTCCCTGAATAAATGTCACCATCATCTTCATGCACTGACTGGAACCCAGAGAAAGTCAGGGAGGCTGAACTGCGGACTGGAAGCAGGGACCTGACTTGTGATTCCCCAGCATTCAACTTTTCCAAAAACAGAGGTTTAGAGGATTTCCTGGCCGGACCTGATAGCGGGACCCCTAACCCTCCATGCCACTGGTGGTTCCTGTGACCTCGTGGAGATTCAACCCTGAGGATGGCTGGATCACCACAGGCTAAGCCCTGACTTCTAGCTGGAGATGCAGAGAATCCTGGAAACTGAAGATGTCTAGAATAATGTGTACCCAGAGAGAAGAGAGAGAGAGAGAGTGTGTGTGTGTGTGTGTGTGTGTGTGAGAGAGAGAGAGAGAGAGGGAGAGAAACAAAACAAAGATGCTCATGTATCTACCAGGGCCCATTCCTGCCTAGGCAGAGCATAAAGTGAGTGGCAACCTGTCTCATGGCCAAAATGTGATTTTGAAATAGCAATTATTAAAAAGGAATGCTCAGTCAGCATCCTTTCAGTAAGTACCTAAGCCTCAACTGTGGAGTACTGCATCGACACATTCATAGGCTGATTAGGGAAGGGAGAAACCACCCAACTGAGGATATTAGCATGGCATTTCAATGTCTTTCCTCATTGAATTAAACGCAAGTACAGGTTCTACGATCACTGAGCTGAGAGTCTTTTCAAAGGAGAATATCCTTCCAGTAGATTTAATATTATCACAAAATTAAACCGATTTTACTGTTCTCACATTCTAAGACTCTAGTATATTTAAATGTTAAATTAAGAGCATGTTTTGAAAACGTCTGAACAGGGGCATGAAAACCTCCATAGGGGCATGAAAACTCCTCTACCTTGACTTTAAAGAAACACATCACTTTCCATTTGGAGGGGAGTGTCCGAATTCCATCAGCCACACAGATCTTTTTGTAAAGTATGATTTTACATTTTATTTACTCATTTAATAAGCTGGGAACTGCTCTGTTATACAAATACAATGTCGTACAAAACTCACAAAATGTTACAAAAGTACAAACTGCATTACTTAATAAATATGACTACGATTAGGCAAAGTGGCAGTATGATAGATTTTAGGTGGGAAACATTAACTCAAAAAAACCACACAATCTTTGCAGACATTTATACATTAATAAAGGATGATCCTATGTTGCCTTTTAAAAGAATTTAAAAGGAGCATTAAGACAGTATCTTCTGCGATGAAGTAACTGCTGAGGTTGGCTCCAGGCATTTATGCCATCAGCTTTTTAATCTCTTAGGGGAATCTAACATGCTCTATTGCAGTAGGTTGATCTTGTCACAGAGTCTTACACCATGTGATTACCTTATAACAAAATCACAAACGTAAATAAAAACAATTGAGAGCACCCGACATTCTACTCTAAACATCAGTCGAGTACAGAATAGTCACTCTGCATCAGCAAGCCTCAGACTTTCATTCAAGTAAGACCTGGTACTATCCCTTAAAGAAGAAGAAATACTTAACAGAGGATTGTGGGTACTATCCCACAATCCGCTGTTAAGTATTTCTCTCTAAAAGATTGACCATTTCTAGACAAATAATGATTCCAAAACAACAAATCTATTTTTATCAAAATGTAACGGGCCAATCATTTGGTAACAAGAACACATCAATATAAGTTTCTAAGAATTGTAAAATGCAAATTTCAACAACATAACCACCACATCACAAACTCTGTTCAAAATAATACATTTTATATAAAACACTTCTCAATTTATGCCTGAAAGCTGCTTGTCAAAATTAATGTACTGTCATAGATGAAGATACACCATTTTTTAGTGTTGTGTAAAAATACACTTTTGTAGAAAGTAGACTACCAGGAATGAAGAGATTTACATTGTGAGAAATTAGCTTTCAAATTAAGCAGTTCTCACTTATACAGAAAATTATAGATGCAGCAAAATCACCCAAAACTGTCATGAAACATCATTTAGGTGCCCAGTAACCTTTAGTTCTGAGAACATTTTAAAAGATGATTATGGCATTACACTCACGGAAAAGCTATTAGGAATTGCCGGGTGCGGTGGCTCACGCCTGTAATCCCAGCACTTTGGGAGGCTGAGGATGGCGCATCACGAAGTCAGGAGTTGGAGACCAGGCTGACCAACAAGGTGAAACCCCATCTCTACTAAAAAATTCAGAAAAACTTTGCCGGGCATGGTGGCGTGTGCCTGTAATCACAGCTTCTCAGGAGGCTGACGCAGGAGAATCGCTCGAACCAGGGAGACGGAGGTTGCAGTGAGTCAAGATCACACCACTGCACTCCCACCTGGGTGACAGCGAGACTCCATCTCAAAAAAAAAAAAAGAAAAAAAAATCTGAAAAACAAATAAAACAATAACAAACAGTGAGAGTCATCCTGCAGAGCTGCCAGGGCTGTTCGCGTATTCAATCCATGGTAACCATTTATTCTAGAGGCGGGGCAGGATTGCTGGCTACTGGTGGGAGATGCTAATGTCTGCTGACATTTTATTTCATATATTATACATATACATGATACATAATTTTATAAAACTCTCATATATAGTGGCATTATGTATTATGCCATCTGGATGTATTTCACCTGTTTCACAACTCTTTTGCTAGTGGAAATTGGTTAGTAATGTTAGTATTTCTTAGTACTGGTATAAGTTTTTGTGTTTTGATTTTAGCTGAGTCACTATGGGTCTTATGTGAAAAATGGGAGACAGTTATAATGTGGCACCATTTTTAACAACAATCCAGTATTAATGTGATTTTATTAACCACTGAAGTTCTTAACCAGTTCAGTAAACATGAGAAGCTTAAAACCTTGGTTTTTGTCCCACTTTCTCATCTGTCTCTCTCACTGTGATTAGCACTACTGTCATACACCTGACAGTAATAATCGGCCTCGTCCTCAGGCTGGAGCCCAGAGATGAGCAAAAACGCTGTGTTACTTGAGGTCTCCTTGGAGCCAGAGACTCGATTGGGGACCCCAGGTCCCAGCTGCTTGTCTGAGTCGGAGTAGTAGTACAGGAATAACCTGGGAGCGCTCCCTGGCTTCTGCTGGTACCAGTACATGTTTTTACTACCAACACTGAGGTCACTGCTCAGGGTGCAGGGGAGTCTGGCCGTTGCTCCCGGGGATGCAGACAGGGAGGGCGGCTGAGTCAGCACAGGCTGGGAGAGGGAACCTGCAGACACAGACACAGAACGGTGAGAAGCAGGGTCAGGGCACAGCTGCTGAGGGATCTGAGCCATGGGGGACAGATCAGGCTGGGAGCCCCCCGCAGCTCTAAGCCCTGTCCCTACCTGTGCAGTGAGAGAGGAGCAGGAGGAGGAGAGGAGTCAGGGCCATGGTGGACACGGCTACCTCTGAGGCCACAGACCCAGGGTTGGGCTGCCCCAGGCCACTCTTATCGCAGCGTCACTGGGCTCACAGGGGAGGGGCTGACCATGCAAATGAGTTCCCCCATTGCCTGCCCCCAGGTGCACTCACAGGGACCAGGCCCTTGGACAGGGAGGCTGGCATCAGGCAAGAGATTGCCCCATGGGTAGGACCAGAGAAAGAAGCAGCTGCTGGGACCACACACAGGTCGTGTGTAGAGGACTCTGCCAGGCACAGATGGGACAAGGCTGCAGAGTCCCAGGAGGAAGTGAAGGAGCAGCCCTGGGCCTCTGCCAGTTGAGGGCTTATCGGCTGTGAGCACCTCTTCTGCAGAAATACACAGAGAAGGTCTCACCGCGCCCCCTGCTGGTTCATAGGCAAACTTCTCCTTTTGCAATGATCAGAATCTTCCCTCTGCTTTGTTTCCTTAACTCTTGTTTTTCAAACATGCAGGAAGAATTCCTTCAGGGAACAATGGAGATGTGGTCCTGGTGCCATCCCTGACCCCGGGCCTCCCTCTGTGGGGCAGGGGGCCAGCAGGGGTGGCCTACATGTAATATTGGTCCAGGAAAGTGTGTGATCTGCCCTGGAGCTGAGGACACAATGCCAGGGTGGAGCACCAAGAGGATCGCTTCACCAGGAGGCTCTTGCTCAAGATGCTGCTGTGACTAGGAGTTCACCGCGGGGAAACACGCCATGCAAGATCTCAGGCCCTTCCTGAGGAAGGTGCTGGGAGGAGATGCTGAGGCAGACTCCGAGGTGGGGGCTGCAGGTGTGGAGGGGGATATGGCCCCAGGTGTGCAGCAGGGAGGATACTGCGGGGCCCTCGGGCTGATTCTCCTCCATCTGCTGGCTAGAGGCTTGACCGCGGCTGTACCTGTCATCAGCTCTCCTATTAGAGACTCAGCTCTGGGGAAGTTCCAGGACAAGTTCTAGAACCTGGGACAGGAGATTGGGCAGAAGACATTCCTGGGAGACTGGAGAAACAGTGGCAGAGAAATTAGGGAAAGGGTGGAGAGGCAGGTGCTCTGAGGTGGGACACAGGGACAGGGATCACTGAACCCCAGGCTGTCGGAGAGGAGGAGATGGCCCAGAGTGTGTGGTGGGTAGAGGCCCACCATGAGAGAAGCCCTGATGCCATGACGGCCACAGGCGGTGCAGGCGGAAGGGCAGGGCTGAAAGACTGTGGTGAGCTTGGTGTACGTTTGTCCCACTGTGACCATGGCATGACAGTGTGGAAACAAGTTAACTCAATTCAGAGGCAATCACAGCTGCAGGGACTCATTTTCCTCCTTTATGAAAACAAATGCAGGTCTTAAAATAACCATGTGACAGGAGACTCAGGTTGCGTTGTTATTCATTCATTCACTCATTCATTTATTGACCCATTTCCCATTTAGAAAAAAAAAAAAGTGCAGCTAGTTGCCAGCACTCATTTCTTGGGCAAATGGGAAATGGGTTCAACACATATTTAAAGAAGGGCTGGCATGGATCAGACACTGGGGATGTAACAGGGGTTTAGGGACAGGACCCAGGTCATGGAGTAGGAGATGTTGGGCAGAAGAGGAGGATAAAGATGGCTCCAGAGAACATCCCCAGTCTGAGGATTTCATGGTGTTCCCCAGAGGAGTCGACGGCTAAGGGCCAAGGTCTCCCACAGACCCCTCTCTCCCTAGCATGCAGCTCAGGGCATATAAGGGTCTCAGTGGCTGCAGGGCCTGCGGGGGGAAAGCTCTGAGATGCCTGAGCTTTGACTTCACACGGAGCTCAGGTGGATGCGCAGGCCGGGGGAGGAGGGAACTGCCCGTGTCCAGAGGGAGGTGCAGCAGTGCTGCTGGTGGCCGTGGAAGCATCCCACTCAGATGCCTCTTCAGGAGAACCTGCAGGAGGACCACAGGTGACTAACATGTCCCCTGCCCCTGGGCTGGCTCCAGGCAGTGAGGAGCCCAGGGGTCCCTCCAGCCAGGTCTTCCTGCAGGAAGCAGGGCACTTCCAGTGAGCACCCCTGGGAAAGAACACACTCCGTCGGCTGAGGCTTCATCTGACATCTGACCTGCCTGTGGACTGGGGCAGTTCCTAGTGATCCCTCTTCCCTCTCTCCTTTCATGGGGGTCAGAGCCGGGTCTGAAGCCCACCCACCCTCCGTGCCAAGTCCTTCCCCGTTTCTCTTTCACCAGCGTCTCTATCCTCCATAAAAGAAATTTCTGATTAATTATAGAATCTACTTATCAAAGGGGCCAAACAAAAAAAGGACTTCTATTTTAGAAAGAACGTCTCATCCATGACACTGTGAGAGGCACTACTGTGCCATTAGTAGCCTCATCCTCAAGCTTGAGCCCAATGGCGTGCAAAGCCTCAGCACTGGCGGCAGCATCCACTCACACAGAGAAGAGGCTGGGGACCCTGAGCCCTGGTTCTGCTTCAATCTCAATAGAATCTTGGTAGAGACCAGGGAGGCAAGGCTCCCTGTCTTGTTGTGTTTCCAGTAAATGTCGTAGCAAACAACATTGGTGTTACTGCTCAGGTTGCAGGTGAGTCTGAATGATGATCCCAGAGATGCACAGAAGGAGTCACAGAGCATCCAGATAATCAGAGAACAATCAGCAAGGCTGCCATCCTGTGCTGAATAGTGAAAATCAGCCTGTGCTAAATAGTGAAAATCACCTCCCAGCCTGGAGCCCAGAGATGGCCAGGGAGGCCAAATTGCCTCAGATGGGGCTGGGGAACTTCCCTGAGGTCCCTGAGGGATAGTTGTTACCCCTCTGGGTCTGAGGTTTGGGGACGTGTCCCAGGTGCTCCTGAATCCAAGCTGTGCCTTGACTGACAGTATGACGGCTGTTTCCAGGGCAGGTGATTGTCATTGTCATTCCTGGAGACTTGGTCGGTGAAGGAGGTCAGTGAAGACTTGGTCAGTGAAGTCATGAAGCTGTCAGCCCCATGTGGATCATAGACCCAGGAGGGTGGAGACAGAGACAACAATGAGCCCTATGAAGAAGGGAGTGGAGCAGAGGTGGGCTGAGGACCACATAGAAACTTCTCCCCAGAGCAGGACGGACCTCACCCGGGCAGGGAGGGAAGAGGACAAAAAGCAGTGGGGCCAGGTCATGGTGCAGGTGCTCAAGAGATCTGCACCCCAAGACTCCAGCAGTAACAGTGAAAGTTCCTAAGGCTCTTTTAGTCTCTACAGGTCTCAATGGGAGAGAATTTCCTACATTCAAATATGTCGCTGTACCCGGATCACCTCCAGGACCCCTCAGCCATAGGCAATATCTCTGTTGTCTTGAGGAAGAAGGTGCCTGTCTTCCACCCCATCAAAGATCACCAAGCTACAAGTGGGAGCTGGGCTTTGAATGGAGGTCTACCCAGGCTCCTAAAGTTCAGCCGTCCTCCAAGGAAAGGACAGCACTGTAAAAGCTCAGTGAATGGGACGGGAGACTTCACTAAAGCCTGACCAGGCTGGTACCCTGATATCCAACTTCCAGCCTCCAGAACTGGGAGAAACATAATTCTGTTTTTGGTCAGCTCCCCAGGCTATGGCTCTTTGTTGTAACATCCTGAACTAGCCCAGAAGTGCGATTCCATCACCTGTGTCATACTCCATCATTCAGAAGGGAGTCACTAACCCCTCAGTGCTGCCTTTGTGGATGCTGCCCACCCTAGGCTGAGATGAGACACAGGGTCTGGGTCTAAATAAAATGGGAAGGCACTGGAAGGTGCAATGTCAGAGGAGGAGGATGTCTGAATTTCATTTAATCTCAACCCGTACTGGTGCAGCATGAAAGAGGAGGCCCAGAGCAAAAGTGTCTTCTCCTGAGATCACACCATGAACCCCAGGCCCACTGGAGTTCTCTTCCATGCTACTTCTCACTCCTTTTTGAATTTCCTCCATCTGTAAGTGTGTGCAATATCTACAGGAAACACCACATCATGAGTTTTATAAGATCTATCTCAAACACACCTCAGGAGTTCCCTAGGAGGGAGATGCTAGCATAACCCCCATTGTGCATGCTGGGGAGGCCCCAAAATACCAAAGGAGTTCTCTAGGGTCTCACAACTGCTAAGATAAAGGTTGTTTGACCCAGAACTGTCTCCTCAAACCTGGGACCCTGGTTACATCCAGGTCTTCCCAAGATGTTGAAGGGGCACACTTTGGCATAATGGTGAAAGGTAAGGAGTTGATGGGGGAGGGTGAGCGGCCAGAAGCCCAGTGGGGCCTTTGAGTAGGTCTTATGGAAAGGAGGTGCTTACAGGATGGAACCTACAAGATGTGACCTCACTTCCTTACTGACAGACCCCAACAGAACTTAGAATTCTGGTAACTAGGCACCCATATTATACACACAGCCCCATTTCCAGCTCAGTTGGGAGTCGACACTCGAGAGAACACCATGTTCTCCTGCTGTGTCCCCACATGCTGCCGACCTCCTCATCGCAGAAGAGGCCAAAATGAGACTGTTTCTCGAGAATACAGACATTGGTACAACCCTCACCCTCGACGCCTCTGGCCCTTTGCCAGAAGGCACCCACAGGTAACACAGGGCCCAGGGCAGGCCCGTCGAGGCCAGGCCTCAGCTGTGTCCATCAGGGCAGTACTGAGTCCCTCCCCATGTGTTTGGGGGAAACAGGAGAAGAGGGGCCCTCCCTGGATAGGAGCAGGTAGGTGGTCAGGGGTTGGGAGCCTGGTCAGTATGTCAGGTTCACAGCCCAGGCCATGCCTTCAGGATGGGAAGGTGAGTGTCGAGGACATAGTTTGTCTGCTCAGATCTGAATCCCAAGACCTCAAGCTTCATCTGCCGGAGACCTCAACCTGCTCTGGCTGGAGGTCTACGCAGATGCTCCTATGTGCCAAATCCTGTTGGGGAAGGGGGCGCCAGGGAGGAGTTCTAATGGGGTATCCCACTATGGGGTCAGCCAGGCAGGCCACTGACACCTCTTCGCCTGGCTCAC